ATATTTTCGAAATCATTATTCCATTACATGGTCAATAAATTCACATTTTTGTGTTCTAATCAAATTCGTAGTTTTTTTTTTTTTTTTTAAGTAGCAGAAATCACAAAAATTGCAAAATTCTTCGAATTTATTTCAACGCAAGGACATTGTGCTATTAAAATTTCGATCTGTTTCTTGCAGCGTGGACAATCGTGAACGTAATACTCGATTGTTTTATAATGTCGTCATAAATATCGGACTTGTCACGAAATAAAAAGCAAAGAACTAGAACGATACTCGAATCCGCCGGATTGGCATTGAATACTCGTCGACAAGGAGTTTCACGATTGTTTGCCGTGCAGGTAGCATTTCTTGCAACGCAGTCTTTCCTTTCCCGATAGCTCTACATGCGTATACAACCGCATTAAATTGTAGGCGGCGTAGAAGTGCTGATAAGACTGATATCGCGCGCATGAGGCGTCCATAAATGGCGTGTAAAAGTATGAATGGAACATTCTTCTTCCACCGATAAAGCGAGGAGAAAATACTTCGCCTTCTTTATGGCTTTCTTCGAATTTCGTATTCGAGAAACGCGAACTATGAGATGACGAATTATTCAACGTTTCGTAGACATTTTATTCTCTTGATTCGAATCAATAAAAAGGAGGGATAGTATAACAAATATTACAGTATATTACAGCAAATAGTCTGTAAAATTATCTCATTTTACTCTTCCTTTTGCTCGCAATTGGATGTACAATGATAAAGACTACGAGTTTCTGTGCATTAAAAAATTTTTTCTATTTTGTACATAAACAACATAATCAATTCAAAAACCCACTTATTCTACTAACGATGATATAAAATACATTTATAGTTGTATAGAATAGACTTAAAATATACGTAAAGTTAAATTCCTATCGTTGCCTTGATCATAATGTAATGTTCTACTCGAAAATTCCCATAAACCAACGTGCCAAGATTCTGCGCAAGTGGAACAACAACTTGATTAATTCTGGTACGAACGAGTCGCAAGCACACTTACAAGGATCGTTAAAGCGTTAATCGATACGGAATAAAGAATCGTGATAGATACTGTTGTAAAAGTGGTGGTTGCAAGATTATTCGTGCATGAAACTTCGAGCGAGTCGTCCAAGCGGCGTAAAGGGAACGACGCGAATTCTAACGATGACACTCGCTCGTTTCGTAAGTTCACTGGTCCGCAGATCCAACGTGTCAGATAAGGCTTTCGCAGACGTGAAACTTTCGCTGTCCGCTCGTTGCGTCCGCGTCTAACGAGATGCGACAGAGTTAATTATTGTTTCAGTTATTGCGGGAAC